AACGATACTGAGCTGGGCCACAGCCAGCACACAACCCCAGATCCAGAACTCAGCGCTGAGGTCCCAACACAAGCAGGTTGCTGACCAGGGCCGCAGGTGGCAACCATGGCGTGGGGAGAGACGGGAGGGCGTCAGAATGACCTGGGAGCACAGTCTACAGCCAGGCTCCAGAGACCAACTATCCTGGTTTGTCTGGGATGTCCTGGTGTTAACACTGAAAGCCCCTTATCCCAGGAAACCATGCAATCTGGGCAAATCCAGATGGCTGGCCACTCCGACGTGTGTGTTTTCCCCACACCACCAAGCAGGTAACTTGATTCTCTAAGGACACTGACCAGTGGTCCCACAAATTTAACTCAGTTCTGAGACTGTCTACCTAGAGATGGCATCAGATCCCACAGGTTGAGGGCTCAGTCCTGCAAGACTGCCCCCATCCCCTTCAGATGCCAGTCACAAGTCCAGGTTGTCACCTGTGTTTCTGAGGATTGGCTATAGATCAGAGATTGGATTAATTTGCTAGAGTGGCTCACAGAACTCAGAAAACCCATTTATTCATTAGATTTCCAGTTTATTACAAAGGATGTGAATGAGCAGCCAGATGAAGAGACGCACAGGGCAAGGTGTAGGAAGGGGCTCGGAGCTTCCATGCTCTCTGAGCACACCACCCTCCCAGCACCTCCACGTGTTCACCAACCCGGAAGCTGAGTCCCATCCTTCTGGGTTTTCATGGAGGTTCCATGATGTAGGCATGACTGATTGAATCATTTACCACTGGTGACTGATTCAAACTTCAGTTGCTCTCCTCTCCTGGAGGTCCGGGGGTGGGACTGAAAGTGCCAACCCTCCAATCACATGGTTGGTTTCCTTGGCAACCAGCCCCCAGCCTTCCATGTTTTCCCAGAGTCTTCTCATTCACATAAACTCAGACGTGATTGAAAGGGGTTGTTATGAATAAGAAGACACCTTTAACACTCTTACTACTCAGGAAATGCCAAGGGTTTTCTGTGCCAGAAATGGATGAAGACAAAGTATATCTTCTTCTTATATCACAGTATCACCCACACCCCTATCGACCCCCTACCCACCCACAGAACTGTGAAGGGGGCACACGGGAGGACATCTGGCTTTGGGTCTCCTTTTATTTCAAATTCTAACTGCGTCAGGGCCTGTTACTGGGTGTCACCTGGGACCCTTTACCTGAGCAGGTGAGGGAAGCAGAATGGCCTGATGCCCCACTGCTGCCCACGCAGCAGCACTTCCCAGCTCAGGGAACTCAGCCCAGCCTGTCCCTGGGCAGCTTTAAACAGCATGGCACCCCAGGGAGTTCTGACTTCATTGCGGGGGGCGGGCAGGGGGTGGGTGGCTGGAATCGCTGCTTCTAAATGTTCCTCAGGTGGTGTCTGTGGCCAGCCGGGGTTGAAACCTGCTGACCCTCTGTCTTTTCTGCCTCTGTCCTTCCTTCCTTCCGCCCTGGAGCCCTGCTGACCCAGCCTGTCTAAGAGCTGCCACACACCTTTCCAGATCCCTCCAAGGCAAGTCCAAAGTCCAAGGCCCTCAAGTGCTCCCTTTTCCTCAGCTGTGCTGAAAATGAGATCTCCCAGTGTTAACGATCTCGGAGGTTTAATGTGTTACCTGCCCAGGTAGCCGCTTCACTCTTTACAAGGCCTTTCTGGAAGTAATTCTTTAACTTACTAAGGAATGTACTCGTAATGATGAACAAAATCAAATGGCACACTGACCAGGAATGAAAACAACTCTGGTGAAAATGCCCATCATGTGACTCCAATTTGCACAGTTCCAGGGTGGAGGCCCTGGCATTCCAAAACCACCAGAGCTTGACCTCAGCCCACCGGGCTGGTCTGTGCCCGTGGGCAGCCCTTTCCATTGCAGTGCGCTCAATGAATATTTCCCTTAAATTGCCACCATTGTAATGTGTCAGTTTAATTCCTTACCCATCTTTCTTTTTGGGAAAATCATACCCTCTTTCAATTCCAGACTGCAAACAGAGTAATCATCCTGTTTCTCTGAGAAGTCATTGTAGTTCGTACTTTCTCATAGTGTGTCGTTTAGGTCTTTCCTATGAGCCTGAAGCTCTTTGACAATTAAACGTGTTAAGTTAAACAATGCCGTCCCCTCTGCCTCTGTTTTAAAACAGGAACTTGGGCTCTAGTTACAGAGTATTTTTTGAACTTCTGTGCTACCATATTGTCCCAAAACTCAGAGTATCTTAAAATGTCATTGCTGATGACACTGTTTCAAATGTAGCAGTGTTCACTGTGTCCTGGTTAATGCTTACAAATGCCCACTGTCCTTCAGCTATCATTAAATTAGCATTGTGTGATTGTGCTATTAGGACAAAGAAATGTTGGTTTCCGAGGCCATAGTTCTAAACCCAGGCTGGTGTTTACTCCATTTCTAATAGCAAATGAGTTTTTAGACATCTCTTTATGTAGCAGAAGATCCAAAAAGCGATATGAAGTATTTGAACTGGAAGAGGAAGGTCAGACGTAGTTTACTGCAGTCAAGGGCCCTTTGCGCCTCACATGGACAGAGAGGAACTTTGTCACTTGATGAGGAGCCAGGGTAAATTTGAAGATATGCTCATTAAAACATTTGACGTTGGCACTGACTCGACATCCCGGACCCATGATCTTTCTGTGCAAGGGGCCAGGCTTCATTCTGTGCACCACAGACCAGTGCCATGGGTACCTGGGCTAGCTCGGGTCTGCCCTAAAGGGAAGATCGGGCAAGGTAACTCTGTGCTGTGACCTGCAACCCGCTGGTACCCTCTGGCCTGATTCTGTGACCTCATGATGGTCAGCAGTGCTGTGAGCCGAGCCACGGGCGCTGAAACTCACCGAGGCTGAGTAGCTTGGCGGAGGTCGCAGAGGTAGGAATTGGTGGGGTTGGGATGCCGGCCTCACAGCTCTGATGCGCTGTTCTTCGGACCCCGTGACATTCATTGGACATGCACCCTCTGGGTCCAGTTTACCATAACTGGGTGACAGGGTGTGATGAGGTGTGCTGACTGGTCCTTGTACATCAAAGGAGGCACAAATACACAGCAACCAACTGTGCCCTCCTGGCCAAGAACAGTCTTTCCATACTGGCCCTGGGGGTTGAGGGCAAGTTAATTCTAACCACTTTGGGGCCTTCTCAGGGAGAGGAAGTACAGAAGATTTTATAGGCCACATCCCTGAATTCCAGCATGCTGGAAGAGAGAGAGGGGTGTTCCGATGAGTCTGGACCTTGCCTGCCTCCCCAGGGCTCACCTAGATTCTCAGATTAGACTGCAGCCCACCGCTCGGAATTCACCACAGTGCTTCCCTAGAGGGTTGAGGTACGGGTGGGACAGCAGTGAGACACGACTCAGTAAATGACGTTGGGGCCCTGAAGAAGATAAAAAATGGCAGACACCTCCCCTGTGTCAGACACCTCAACAGCGATGCAGCAGACATCACTAGCTGATCCCAGGACTGCTCCTACCCAGCCAGGGGAGGGCTCTCACCAGGATGATCCAGACAGCCATACTGACCAGACCAAGCTTAGGAGACGCATCTCTTGCTTTCCTAAACAATTCCCAAATCCACTCAACAATTACCAAATCCTCACTCTACTTTGATTATGGAAACAGTCTTAAAAAGAAATCAACTGGACTCTTGCATTATATATTTGTATCACTTCTTGTACAGCCTTAAAAAGAAGCCAGTATTTTAACTACTGAATTTAAAGATACTAAACAACAAGGTCCAATACCATAGAGAGGGCACTAAGTGATGGAGTGACAAGTGACCATAGCGTGAGCAGTTCTCCACAGAGCTGTCAACTTAAAAGGCAAACCCACGTGTTATTTTATCTCCACAGGAGTGTATTTAGAAATAGCCAAAAGAATTGCAACTCAGAATGTGCAAGCTGTGGCAACCGGTAGACAAATCCAGAGGACAAAGGAGGGGGCTGCTTTTATACAGAAATAGGGGGAGAGGGAGGGGCTGAAAGTCCATTGGGGGAGAGAAACAGATCAGGGCAGCAATGGCTTCTCATTGGATGAACTGCAGTGTTTCTCATTGGCTGAGCTGTGGCTTTCTCATTGGCCTGGCGTTCCCAGGTGGGGAGAGAAATCTTCCTTCAGTAGTAAAGTAGTTGTACTTCCTGTGGGAGATGCAAGTCTAGTCTCTTTCTGTTTGGTGTAATTGAGGATGTGATGGGGGTGAGAGCTCCCCCTGCAGGCGTTCCCAACCCAGTTTAGTTAAGGTTTGTCTTATTTCCACAAGGTCAAAGATGGGTCCTGGCAGGGAGGAGCACGCAATCCCAGTGTTTGGGGTCCTGGGGTCCATGGGCATGTGAGAGCGAGAAACGCAGCTTCTCTCAGGACTCTAAAGGAAAGTTTCAATAATAAAAGTCTACACCAAGTTTGAGGTTGTTTTAAATGTTTTTAACTACATAAATAACTAAATCCTCAAACATTACTATCTGAAAGCCGACAAAGTTAAGTAGGGCCCATTTCCGAGGGAGCGGGAGTATGCCCCGCGAGGATCCGACTAATGGCCGAGGGAGCCGGGGCGGGCGGGCTCCTGGGGGGTGGGCCCGGAGGGAGCGCCGTGCCCACGGGGGCGTCCAGGGACCAGGGTGCCGGAGGTGACGGTCTTCCGGGCGGGGGTCGGCGCCGACCGCGTTGGCTCTGCACGGCCCGCGGGACCACCCCAGGAGGGGCGGCAGCACCAGCAAGCCCCAGAACCACCCCCAAGCCCTCGCCGCCCCTTTAGAGGCAAGGCCACGGCGCGCCCCCTCCCCAACACCCCTCCCAGCCGAGCATGCGCACTGAGCCACAGCGAGCCCGCCGCCCGTCAGCCGCGCAGGCGCACTGAGCGACGCCAGGGGGCGGGGAACGCGAGCTGCGGGGGTGGGGGTCGCCGGAGGGCGAGGGACGGGCGAGCAGGGGCGCGCGGCTGCGCACTCGCCTCGCCGCCGCCCTGCCCACTTCCGGCGCGCGGCGCTTCCGGGCAGAGGCTTCCTGGCCCCTGTCCGAGGTGTGGTGCGTCCGGTCGACGACCGACCGACCGACGGACTGACCGGCGGGGCCCCAGCCACCATGGCGTCCGACGGGCCCCGCGGGCTGATGCCGCGGTGGGGACTGTGCCTCGGCGGCGCCGCGCTGCTCCTGCTGCTCCTCCCGGCGGCCGCGGCGCAGGAGCAGCCCGGAGCGGGTGAGGGCGGCCAAGGGGGCACGGGGTCATGTGGGCGGGCGGAGGGGGCACGGGGTCATGGGGTCGACCGAGGGGACGAGGGGGCGCGGTGGCGGGCGGGGATATGGGGGAGGCGGGGTCGTGGGGGTCGGGCGGAGGGGGTGTGGGGTCACGGGGTCACAGCCGCGCCAGGTTGCTGCTCCCTGCGCGCTGCGGTCTGCGGGGGCGGCCGCGGGTCCAGCCTTTGGCCCCGTCGGGCCGGTGGAGCCGCAGCGGGATGTGCCCACGGGAAAAGAAGGGGCCGAGCGGCTGGCCCACGCGTGGGTGTGTCAGGGGGTCCAGATGGCGCCCGGCCGTGCTGCACGTTTCCGCGGGCCTGCAGTGGCGGCCTAGCTTAGCACACTGTTTTCTCGCTGAAGCTCACCGCGACCCTCGGAAAGATTGGGGGGCCGGTGTCCAGGCCACGCCCGTCGAGGGTTGCGAGGGCCGGGGCTCATGTCCCAGGGCCCTGCTTCACGCAGGAGGCCTGGGTGGGGCCCTTATGGCCAGCCTCACCGCGCACGTGAAGATTCCTCCGAGGATCTCCAAGACTGTCGTGAAGGCAGGAAAGCACAGGCCGTGGCATTTGCCACCTGGAAGCCAGCTGATCCCTTTTCACACTCTCCAGACCTGCAGTGGGCGTTCTTCATGGGTTTATCCCACCTGTTTTTATTTACCACCTGTGCCAGGTGCTGAGCCGGTAGTTCTTATGTATCCTTGAGCTGAGGTCCTGGAGAGACTGACTAGAAAGCAAGCCATGGGGGGCGGGCGGTGAATAAGGGGAGTGCATGGAAGAAAGTGCACGACCTGAGGCCCAAAGAGTTCTAGAAACTGAGTATTGCTGGAGGTGGCTTCCTGTGGGCAGAGCAGGGCCTGATGGGTTGTCTGGAGGCTGGTGGAAATCTGGGAAGGGTTAAAGCTGGGGACTGTTGTGGGACCTGTTGCAGAATGTCCCTCTCTGACTGCTGTGTGGAGTCCCCACGTGATCACTAGTTGTGGGTAACAGAGCCACAGGAGGCCGCTTAACCTGTTTCATGATGTTTACAAGTAGCATGGACCGGGGCCCAGCACAAGGGGCAGTTTGTCCTCAGCTGATCTCAGCCCAGGCTTCGTTTAGTACAGCCCAGCGCCTTTCCTCTAGGTGACCTTGTGGAACGTTTATTCTAGGGCAGGACTGCTTGAGTGTCCTCTAATCTACTTCCAGGTGTATGTGTGTATATGTCTGTGATGTTCACAATGCAGCGTCCTGGCGTGTGTTAATGAAGCAGTCGGGTTGCACTGCATAGGGAACTTTTGGTCCAAACTGAGTTCTAAGCTCAAACGTGGAATGAATACTTTTTACCAAACAGAATGGCTATCTGCCAAGAGTCTGTGATTTTGAAAGAATGTGTTTATTACCGATGGCTGGGGGGAGGGGGGGTGCCCTTACCAGAGTGGGCGTGTCTGGAAACGCCCTGAAGCCTCCTGTTTATTACCGATGGCTGGGGTGGGGGGGTGCCCTTACCAGAGGGGGCGTGTCCGGAAACGCCCGGAAGCCTCCTGTTTGGCTGCTCTGCTTTCCATGCTGCCCTGGGCTTCTGAAGCTGCAGAGCCCCCGTGTGAGATGAGTGGGAGTGTCCTGTGACGGTCTGGGAGGTGAACCAGACTGTCACTCTAGCATTTCAGGTGACAAGCAGCTCCTTCTCTAGCCACACGGCATTCCACTTACCACCAACGAAGCTGGAGGCTGCTCTTGTTTCCTTCAGCTCACAGGGATTCCTCTCTGTCCCAGGGTACACCCCAAGTCTTCAGTGGGTGGGAGGGGGTGGACGGTTGTTTGTCTTGTCAGCAGTGCCTTCAAGTGGGAGGAATGGTGTCCTGCTGGGATGGTGTTTACGCCCCCGTGCCCTGGGGTCTGCATTCGCCTTTCCTTGGAGAGAGGTGCTGTTCCAGCATGGAGGTCCCCCTCCCACACCGTGTGTGCTTGTGCGAGATTTTCACCACTTGTCATGCTTCAGGCATGTGACTGCACTATTTTGTCTTCCTTGCAAGCACATTAGTCAAGGTTCTCCAGAGAAACAGAACCAACAGGATATGCACAGCTATAGAGAAAGAGAGTTATTATAAGGGACTAGGTCACACGACTATGGAGGCTAAGAAGTCCCATGATCTGCCGTCTGTAAGCTGGAGACCCAGGAGAGCTGGTGGGGTCCAAATAGGAAGGCCCGAGAACCAGAGGAGCCAGGGGTGTAAGTCCCAGTCTGAGTCTGAAGGCCTGAGAACCAGGAGCACCGATGTCCGAGGACCGGGCAAGATGGATGTCCCAGCTCAAACAAAAAGTGAATTCATCCTTCCTCTTGCTTTTGTTCTGTTGGAGCCCCCCAACAGTTTGGACGATGCCCACCTGCATTGGTGAGGGCAATGTTTACTCGGTCTATCAATTCTGATGCTAATCTCCCTTGAAACACCCTCACAGACACATCCTGAAACAGTGTTTTACCAGCTATCTGGGCATCCCTTAGCCCGTTCAAGTTGACATACAAAATTAACCACAAGTATGTAAATTCAAAGAATACATCACAGCAATACAAAATCAACAATTTCTGATGTTTTCTTGTATGCTTTGGTGGAGAGGAGACATTGGGAACTTGTGAGGTATTGAAGATCTTTGGAGCGGAATTTTTTAAATTAAAGAAGTCTTCATGGGCCCTGGACCTCACCAATTGTGTATGGGGTCAGACTCGATCCCAGAGTTTCATCTTTACATTCCGGGGGAAGACGACCCCTAAAAGGACCTCAATCTGTTGTCCTAAACAGAGGGATCCAAAGGAACTTGGTGGTGGCCAGTGCAGGTCAGCGAGGTGGGGGTCCACCGGACTGCTCCTTACAGTGGGGGCTGGATTTGGAGGGGGTCCGTATTCTTCTGCCCACTACTCTCTGAGAGCCAGGGCAGGTTGTACGGGATGGTATGGTACGTAGGCACACGGTACATGTTTTTGATCTGTAGTATGCTCTCCATGTCTTTCTTTTCTCCTGAGATGGTAGGATGAGCAGGACTCTCCGTGCCTCTGTCACTGCGGTGCAGGCACCATGCCCGATCTAGGGGCTTGTTCTACTGCTCAGGGGCACGGCCACTTGCAGCCTTCTGGCCTGTTGTGTGACACATGCACGATAAATAATATACTTATTAATTTCCTTATTATTTAAAAATATAGGTCTTTACACGTGCTAGTGTGTGTCTTTTTGTGCTTAATCAGTTGACTCACCTGAAACTTTAGGGAAAAACTCAAAAATGGTCCTGGGTTAGTGTATCTTAAAGAACTTTTTTTTCTTTTCATTTAATTTCCAAAGTGCATGAGAAAGTTCTCTAATTATTGATGATTAGACTCTTTTAGTTGAAGATTTTCAGTCGTAGGACTTCAGAAGTCAGGACGTTCACATTCAGCGTTAGACCTAAGAAACACAAGGGCATTTTTTAACTTATCTGACTTTCAGCACGTGGTTTTCCCTATCCATGATGAGATAGGGTATGTGTCCTCTTAGAGAAGTAAAGCTCCCTGTCTTTGGAGCAGTAGCAAATGGTTAATGTCTTTTCCTTTCTAACTGGGCAAGACGGTGTGCTGTTTTCAAGGGAGAGAATGGAATGACCTTTTCCTGGCTCTGAGCTTATTTTCGTGAGAACTGTTGACATTTCTCCCTCTGGTGAAAACCTGCCCTGTTCTTGGCCCACTGGGAGCAGGAGGGGGGCTAGGCAATTTCCTTGGCCTTCTCCTCCCTCGCCTCTCTGTTTACTCAAACTGGCCCATAATCCAGAGGCCCTGGGGTGGACAGGGTTTATGGTGTGTATCTGGAGCTCAGTTGTTTTAGTTCACACAAGACCAGTTATCAAAAAGACTTCAAAAATGAAAGTTCCCATGAAAAAGTTCCTGTACTTGGTCACGCCTGCTGCCTCTGGCCACTCTATTAAGATTGATGAGAAGGAAGTGCGTCCTTTCTTGTAGAAATTGTCAAAATGGACTGGAGAAAGGGTTTGTTAGGTGGTTCCACTGTGTCTCTCCTGCCTAACTCTATTTAGGAAAATTTCAAAGCTGCAGAAGAGTTGGAGGAATAAACAGTGCAGTGAATTCCTGACCCCCTTTCTGTTCCCAGCCTTTGCAGTGTTTACTTGGCTGCTCCCTCTCTGTCTGCTTGTTGAGTTTTTAGCCAGACTTTTGAGAGTTTGAGAGTAAATTGTGGTGTGGCCCCTTACCCCTAAATTCTTCAGAGTGTGTCCCCTAAGAACGAAGACATTCTTTTACATAACAAATATAATGATCAAAATATGGACATTTATCATGGGTACGATGTTTGACTTGACGTACGTCCACGTACAGTTTACCAGTTACCCAGTAATGTCCTTCCGTCCCCCCCATCCGGGCTCATGGGGTACATTAGTTGTCATGTCTCTTCATCTCCATTCACCTGGGACAGCTCCTCAGTCTGTCTGTGTTTTCAGAAAGGCACTTTGTGGAAGGACCCTCAATTCGGTCTTGTCTGGTTTCCTCTGATTCGATTCAGGTGTGTTTTGGCAGGATTCAACCACTCAGTGACTGTCCTTCTCCTTCATCCCCCAGGACGCACCTGCTGTCACTTCGTCCCATTGTTGTACGGTCACAGGTTACTGTGTTGGTACTTTGGTCACTTCTAAGGAGCTGTTTTCTCTTCATAAGTGATGACTAAACTGGGGAGGTGCTTTGAGGCTAAATATCCTGCCACTCCACGAGAGGGCACGGTGGCCTTTGCATCCGTGTTGACTGATGGTTGTGGAATGGAGGCTCTTGGCTCATAGCTTCTACCCCTGCTAGTTGGCCTTTTCTGCGTTTATTTCATGTCAGTGTGAATTCATGGGCTATTCAAGAGATTCGAGTCCATTACTGTCACTCACTTTGATGTTTAATTTGTCCCAATGTGGCAAGGAGGACCCCCTCCAAGCCGGCTTCTGGGTCCTTTTGCCATTTACCCATAAGTTGGTGCCACTTTCTGGCATAGCAAGCTGTCCCAGGTCCTTTCTCTGCCCGTGTTCTGGAATCAGCTGTTTCTCCAAGGAGACCTTGTTCCTTTTAGTGGGGAACAGTGTCTAGAAACCAAGACCTGGGCACCGCCTGTGCCCCGTGCTGAGGGATGTCGTCTTTTCTAGGTCCTTTAGGTGGACAGAGCTGGGAGGCGAGTTTTCAGTCAGGAGTTGGCCACCCAGCACCACAGGGGTCTTCGCCCTCTGCAGCTCCACCCTGGCTTCTACCCTCCCCACGGTGCCAGGGCACTGGGGACTGAAACGTCAGCGGTGCTGTTCTTATCTAAGTGCCACTGTCACCTGTCAGCAGTGCTTGGAGTAATCAAGGTGTTTCAGGGGTTGTCAATTTTCTTTACCTTCCTAGGACTAAATAAAATCTTGTTCTGAGTGAAGTAGCTTAAATAAGCTTCAGCATAAAGCTGATAGCAACCACCAGAGACTCTGCAAAGAATACGGCTTTATAATTGCTGTAGAATCATGTGTGACAGAGTGTGCTTCATTTCAAATAAAATAGGACTTTATTTAGAAAATGGAATGTAGGGGACTAGACTGGCGACTGGAAGAACCCCCAGCCATTTCAAAGTAAGCACCAGTGTACTCTATGTATTAGTCCCTCTGGGAAACACAAGGAATAAAATGGGAACCTAAAGCTAAAGCTCTTTTTCCTGCATTTTGTTATGAAAATCTTCAAACATACAGCAAAGCTGAAAGAATTGTACAGTGGACTCTCACATACCCAACACTCAGGTTTTGTCATTCACATTTTGTTGTACTCATCTGTCCACGTGTCACCCCGCATGCTTCTGTTAACGCATTTTAAAGTAAATGACACACATCGCGCACTCCCCCCAGACCTGACCGCACATGTTGTGACCTAGAGTTCAACATTCGTCTTTTCTCTTGAGATTTTACATACGATAAAATGCAGGAATCTTACCTGTGCTGGTGGATGAGTTGCACCCGTGTGACCCTGACCCCTATCGAGCACCAGAACGCAGCCTTCTTTCCAGAAGGTTCAGGCCTTTCCCACCTGTTGTTGCCCAGGCCACCACTGTCCTTTTTAGCCTGTAGATGTTTCACCTGTTCCCAAACCGCATCTCCGTGGCGTCATGCGATGTGGTCTTTTGTGGAAGCCTTCTTTTAGTCCACACCATGTTTTCAAGACCCATCTGTGTTTTATGTGCACAGTGCACTAGTTTTTATGGCTGCATAGTGTTCCACTGTGTGACTGTCCCACTGTGTCCATCCTCCTATACATGGACATCTGGGCAGTTCTCAGCTTTTGGCTATTATTACCAAGTAAGTTGCTGTGAACTCTCCTGTACAAGTCTTTCTGTGGGTGTGTGTTCTAATTTTTCTTGGGGAAAATACGTTAAGTGTGGAATTGCTGAGTCATAAGGTAGACACATGTCTGTTTACTGAGCAGATGCCAGGCCTTTTCTTCAAGTGGTTGAACCATTTTGCCTTCCCCCCAACACTGTGAGAGTAGAGTTCCCATTTGCTTTACATCCTCGTCAACATTTAGTATTGTCAATCGTTTTAATTTTAGCCATTCTGGTGGGTATTTTGTGATTCCTGGTGACTAATGAGGTTGTGCACAGAGACTTTTAAAAGTGTGTGTGTGTTTAAGGGGTGATGTGGGGTAAATAGCAGCTGCTTGATAGTGTATTGGGGGTTCTGTATTCGTACAGTAGTTCTTTACTTCTCATTAGCTTGAGTTCCAGAGCTGTCAGCTGTGTGGGGTATGACCCCTTCCTGTATCAACAGTACTGTGAACAGTGGCTAGAGCCCCGGGGTACTCCTCAGGATTGGAACCAGCTTCTCTCTCTGGGTGCTGGGAGTATATCCCTGCCTGGGGGGGTGCTGGTCAGGGGCTGGGGCCTGGCCTTGCTGTGGACTTGGGTTCCAGAGAGTCTCTCTCATGAGCCAGGAGGCCTCGGCGATTCGATTCGTGGTAGTGGTTCACAACAGCAGCTCCGCCCCTGAGGGTGAGATGGGGAAAGCGTTACCTTTGTGTGCTGAGTCCTCTTTCCTGGAAGACCCCTTGCTGGGAGGAACCTGTGCGTGCTGCTCTTGGGGCCGGGAGGAGATATTCCACCCCCCACCCACCCTGCCGTCCTGGCTGACGCTGACGCTGCATGGTCCTCAGTGGTCTGTGTTCTTCTCCCTGCAGCTTGTTCTCAGAACACAAACAGAACCTGTGAAGAATGCCTGAGAAACGTCTCTGTAAGTAGCCCCGGGGTCAGCACGGGTCCTAAAACAGCCCACTTCCTCTCACTCCAGAGGGTCAGTGTGTGTGTCAGGGGTTCTGCTCTTTGGGGTGTGTGGAGGTATTTTTCATGGTAGGTATTAAATACTCTTTTAGCCTTTCTCGGGCATATTAAACGTCTCATGAGAACTGCAGATACCATCCTGAGCATCATTAATATGGATTATCAAACTCCCGAAGCAGGTGATCAGGATTATAAGATGTGTAAGTCGGGGCCCCGTGGCTGGAAACATGTGCAAGCTGGTTGGGAAGCCTCAGGCCTCGCTGAGGCCGGCGGGCTTGGCGTTGGGTGAGCGTGGTGTTCAGAAGCAGGAGGGGTCGGGGAGAGGGGAGCAGGGAGGATGCACGCTGGGCTGGGGCTCATAAGTGGCCTCTAATCTATGTTAACCTGTTAACTGTTAACCTGTGACCAGGGCTTTTCTGCAGGTGTCAATAGACCGTAGAGGCCTTGGGGGCAGGGGCTGTGGCTCCATTTTGCAGATGGGCCCCTGAGACATGGAGGGGAGTGCCCAGAGCCCTTCCCATCCACCACCTTGGACAAATGTAGAATGACATGTATCCATCATTATAATATCACACAGAGCATTTTCACTGCCCTGAACTGAGCTGCGAGTTCAGCTCTCCTAAGGGCCCTGCCAGGAGGGCTGCCCATAACCTTGAACCACAGTCTTAAGAGTGTGTATCCCATGTTCTCCATCAGTTGTCAGGTGTTGGAGAAGGAGTGAGAGCAAGGAGAGATGCACGCGGTCTGATCAGTGAGGGTCATAGAGGGCATCTAGTCAGTGGGGTCAGGGTCAGTCCATAGCTGGGAGGGAAGATCGGAAACTGCACTAGGGAAGACTCGGAGCTGGGATGTTCAGATGATGTCCCCAGTTCTTTTAAGTCCCTGTGTGACCTTGAGCAAGAGGGTAGCTACTCAAGAGGGTAGCACAGGCCCGAGGCTCGTGGGGGTCACGTCCAGATGGGTTGTCCTGGGATCTAACACGTAGGTGTATGTGCAGCTGGCTGTCAGGAGAAGTAGAGAGTGATGCTGGGGAAACTTGTCCTCCCCGCCCCCCGAGCCTGTAGAGGATTTGTGGGAACAGCTGCCTTGTTAGGGTCCTGCTGCCGCCCCTCTTGGCCGCTCCCGATTCAGCAGCACCTCGCTGCGAGTCTCCAGCCCTGTTTCACCACAGCCCCGTGTGGTCAGCGTTGAGAAGCCGAGGAAGCTGGCCCGGGGCGGGGATGGCTAGGAGAGAAAACAACCTTCTGTGGGGCCTAGGCCTGGGGACTCTGGGGGAGGCCGCCCCCCTCCCTCCAGTCGGGTTTTAGAATTAACCACATAGCCTGGGGTTTTCTTTCCCTGGCAGTGGGGTTTGATGCATGAGACAGGTCAGGAGAGATTTATCAGATGATTTCTGCTCTAAGACGTTAGCTGTGTTTTCAAAAGAGAACTCCACCCCAGGGGGAAGTGTTGTAGGTTCCAGACATACCGTGTCAGGAGGTGGCACTTAGGTGCACACTTGCGTTTGCTGATTAAAAATTGAAGGAGCCCTTACTACAGTTTCCGATCTTGCCATTGCTAACGCTGAACTTGCTCAGGTGGTCTGGTCCTTACAGGTGGTGTTTTTTTGATGGTGCTTCTCTTTAGTCTCCGGATTTTTCTATTGGAAGTCATTTCTGCCATAAAAACAGCTCAGTGGTCTGCTTTGCCTTGCAGTTCTGAGAGCACTTCTGCAGCCTTGTCCGGTTTGCCTTTCTGGGAGGGAGTATGATCGAGGTATCCGAGGCACAGTGCAGCTGAGGGATGTGCACAGACCACAGTGGGGTGGACACTTCAGCTGAAGGCCTGACCCCCACTCTGAACCCAGACAGATCGAGTCAGAAATGCAGGGTGCAGAGGTGCACACGGACGTGGGGATGAAGGCCAGGGTGAGGGACAGACCTGCACGTGCCCACCCTAGAGTCATACTGGTTTCTGGAGGGAGGTGTGGGTGCCTGGGAGGCCTGACGAGGAGCCTGAGCAGGCTAGAAGGGCGGCTGAGGGCACGCTGTCCTGTGGGTGCTGCCTGAGTTGTTCATATTTGCGTATTACTTCATTAATCTAAAACACACAAAAATAAGCAACCACAACAAAACCACAAAAGAGAATTTATCCTAGTGAACTCCTATGGCTTTTGGTAAAACTGTCATATAAACATGGAAAATTAGACATTTAAAACTTGAGCTATTTGAAAATGGAGGATTTACCAAAAATTATTAAGCCAGGACAGAACCGCTAAAATGGAAGATATTCTTGAGCGGCCAAAATAAAGGTTTTACTGCTGTTTGTTTAGTACGCTCTAAACCATTTTAAACAGAAGACACTGAAGTGGGCGCTGGGTCAGTAGCCCTGGGGAGGCCCAGGTCTGCGTTTGATGTCTCTGTGCTACACTGTCACCCTCACCTGGGGGAGAAACACCATGATTTCTGTCCTGTTAAAAACTCAAAGAAAAAAACTGGAACTGTTACCTTTGAGATTTAAAATACCAACAAAGTCCTGACCTGGGCTTTGGTCAGCACCTGGGTTGGGTGCTGCCTGACCCGCACTTCCCTGGCTGCCAGTGTCCACCCGGCTTGGGGAACGCTGTCATGGCCGCAGGGCCACAGCTGTGGGCTCCTGTGCGCTGGTGTAACGGCAGTGTCTCTGCACCTTGTCCACCTCGCCCCTGGCATCTTAGGGACTCAGACCAGAGCATCTGCAAGGTTCCCTCTGGCTCTCCAGTTCTGGGCAGATGCCTTTGAGCTTTAGTTGCATGTCTTAAAGATAACGCTGCCCACTCAGTGCAGTTGCAGAGGTCAAAGGTAGGATCTTTACATAGTGATTACCAAAAGTCCATAAAACTGATACTTAATGAGCTCTCCAGGCTTGGTCTCGTCTTCCCGGGATACTTCAGTGAAGCGCACCAGTGCCTGCCCTCCTGCAGAGCAGCCAAGATTGGCCTGGCATGCACGTGCGCAGTGTGTTAGCAGGTGGTGGTGCTGTGGAAAGGATGGAGGTGAGGGAGGGGCATGGGGAAGTGGGGGCAGTTTTAAGTAGGTTGCTCAGGGTAGGCCTCCTGGAGGAGTTCAAGGAGCCACACGTGTCTAGGGAGCTCCAGGCAGAAGGAGCAGGTCGTGCAAAGGCCCAGGGCCTGGGGCCAGGAGCCACCTGTAGCTTTCAGGACCAGCATGGAGGCTGCATGGCCGGGCAGGGTGCCTAGTGGAAGAGGTTTGAGTGACATGGCCTTGTTGAGCAGGATGGTGTTGAGCCACTGTGTTGGGGTGGGGGCAAAGGTCACTGCAGTCCCCAAGGGGATGCGGACACTGCGGTTGGTGGTAGAGGTGGTGGCAGGGGTCGGATCCTGGGCAGTCTGGTCCTTTGGTGTTTACATTGCATTTCTGATGTCATCTGTCATCCGTCTCTTTCAGTGTCTCTGGTGCAACACCAACAAGGCGTGCCTGGACTACCCAGTGACAAAAGTCCTGCCTCCTGGGTCTCTCTGTAAGCTGAGTTCTGCACGCTGGGGCGTTTGCTGGGGTAAGTCATTGTTTTCATTGGCTTCTTGCAAGATCAGTGCTGGTTTGAAAATTCTAGTTGTGCCCAGTTCACATAAGCTGCCAGAAAACACACTGCCAGTGGTTCTCTGATGTTCCCAGTGGGAAGGTGGGAAGCCAGTGAGAGCTCGAGCTGTCTGGGAAAACAGCGGGGGTCCCCGGGATTTGGCAGCCCACTGTCAAGGCCGAGGGGGCGAGGCGAGCTTGAGGCTTTTTGGACGTCTCAGCACACTATGTCTTGGTGTTCGTGTGCCTCCTTGACCCCTCCTGCAGGTTCCCATGGGGGCCCCGACTCCCTGAGTTAGGAGTCCCTGCTCAGCAAGGCCATGGCCCTGCCATGTCTCACGTGTCTCTTTCCGTCCTCGTGTGGTTGACTTTACAGGGATTCTTTCGTTAGAGAAATCAGCCCTTGATGAGGTCCAAACTGTTTCCTAGTTTGCCGTTTTAAGTTCGTTTGTGGTGTGCTTTGCTGCATGGGGTTCATTTTTATGTAGATGGGTTTATTAATCTTTCCCTTTTTGGCTTCAGGTCCTGGGGTCATACAGAGGCCACCTGGCCTCCTGGTGGGAAAGGAGCCAGTGTTTTCTTAGAGCACTTGGGTGATTCATTTTGTGTGTGTGCGTCTCGGATCCATCTGCAGCTTATTCCTTATTTGTCTGTCTTTTTTCTAATTGATTTCCATCTGAGAATCTGTCTGCCTGCATCTGAAACAGCTCACTTCTGGGGTCGGGGCCCCAGGGAATCCAGAAGTCTGTGTGGTTGTGGGACGCTTGGTGTGTGTGTGTGCACACACGTCCATCACATCCACCCAGCTGGCCATTCTCTCTGCCATCCTCCAACCAGAACGGCTTTGCTGGGCCTCACTGCCCTCTGCTTCCATATCAGAAGATGGCTGTCTTCTCCATGGAGCGTTTCCTCACCATCTGTTCCACGGAGGCAATGCGTGGACCCGGGAACCCTTGGCATTTTGAGCATTAACTGTTAAGATGTTTTTAAATTGAGGCGTAACTTCTCATGAAATGCACGCTTCTTAAGTCTCCCTCTCTGTAGACTATAGTCTATAGAACATAAACACACATGTATATATACATACATGTAGTCAGTGAACTTTTACATAGGTATACAGGTAATCACCACTCAGCAAAATATATAGACCATTTCCAGCGCTCACGGCCTGTCCCTGCCAGGACCCCATGCGTAACCACTGTACTGACTTTCCCTCAGGGATTAGTGCCGCCGGTTCCTGCCTTCCGTAGAAAGGAGACCATTTGCTGCTGTATCTGACTTCTCATTCAGCAGGAATCTAAGACTGGTGATGTCACATGCACCAGTTTGTCTCATTGCTGTGCAGTGTTCCACAGGCGTTTATCCTTTCTACTGCTGGTGGGCATTTGGGTTGTATACAGCAGCACTGGAATTCCTGTGTGGGGTGGGCACCAGCACTGTCTTCCACTGGGCATGTATGTGGGAGCGGAATTGCTGGATCATGGCATACATTAATGTTTAGCCTTATTAGGTTAAACTGCCAAACATTTTTCAAGAGTGGCTGTACCAGTTTACACTCCTCCAAGCAATGTGGAAGTTCCAGTTGTTCCATGTCTCTGTCAACACTTGGGGTAATCAGTCATCTTCATTTTAGTCCATCTGGTGGGTGTGAAGTTGTATCTCATTGTGGTTTTAGTTTGCATTTCTCTGATAACTGGTGTTGAGCACCTTTTCAAATGTCAGGCATTTTTGATAATTCTCTTGTACAATGAAATTCCTGCCCTAGGGCTATGGGGATGGCTGAACACATGACACCCAACACTGGACAGATGGGACCCCCAGCAGTTTATTAGTGATGTATAGTCACAGCCCGGGGGAGGGAGACACCGCACGTGACACAGGGTCACACGGGAGAATGAGCCAGGGGCTGTGGGAGGCAGGCTCTGTAGTGACAAGAGGGTGTGGTGCCCCCTGGTTCCCAAGAAAGATATGCTGGGCTTGTTTCATTCCGAGTCTGGCGTGGAACTGGAGCCTGCTACTCAGGGATAAGCAGGCGCTGCTCCTGGTCTCCACGGTAGGGAGGGTTGTTTGGCTGGGGCCTCATCTGCGGGAGCAGAGCGGGGAGGGGAATGTGGTTGGACTGTTGGAGGCCCTCCTGGTTTCACCAGATGTCCAGGCAGCACTTACTACTCATTTCAGGCCTCACGACACAGGTGCCTTTTATTCTTTCAAATAACACTAAAGCTGTTTTGGAGTAAACAGATTTTAGAGCCAGGTATCTTACTGGTTTTTAAACTTGATTATTCTAGAGTTCTGTAGTCAAAAAGTTATACCATCTGCTATTGAAGGTCTCCTTTCTAATTATACCTATCACTACTATTTCTTGCGATTCTAGCACTTCAGAACAGGTCAAAAGAAAAAAAAACACATGATTAGAAGCTCAGAAGGCATTTGATCAGATTTAAGACCTGTTCCTGATTTTTAAAATACTCGAGTAAATGACAAGTGAGTGTGTGAAGCCAGCAGCCAACCTAACGTGTGTATCTCAGGGTCCATGCAGGGACAGTGGGGAGGCACCAGGGCACTCGATGTCAGCCCCCCTCCTCCAGGCAGGACACTCGCCCTACAGACACTGCCCCAGCACAGCCCAGAAACCAGTGAGAGTAGAGCTGGTCAGCTCTGTGTGGGGCATGATGTTAACTTCTGTTTCAGGAGACAAATCTAGCTGCTGTGGGATGTGCATGTGGTGGTGACGCCACTGTCCAGGGCGGAGTTTGCTCTGGCAAGTCTTCAGTGGCTGTTTTAATTGGATGACTGAAAACACATTTGCAAAAACGGTATCGGCATGTTCTTTGATTGACTCTGGCTTGAATTGAATTGAATAGAAAAATATTGACTGGTTTTACTGTATAAATCCTTAAGAGAAATTGAAAAGAATTATAAAACTTGTTTTAAGTTTGTATTTGTCTCTGAAGTCTGGTCTTGACAGGAAATCATAAAATCACTTGATGCTGTTGGTTGGCCGTTTTCAGTCCCCTAAGAGGAGGGTAACCCAGCTGTCCTGAGGCTCCAGGGTCCTTCCTCCTGCAGGCTGTGGTCGGAAGTGTGTTCCTGCTGGGAAACCTATAATGCTCTTGACTTTGATCTAAATAAGCAAATAAGCTGCCTCAGGCTTGACTGTGTTTCTGGGAGTTTCACGAAACGCAGTTTAGATGTCTCAGGGGAGTCTAAATACACAGCTGAGTGTTCTCTTTTTGCTTTTATTAACTTATCTCAGGCTCGAAACATCTTTTCAGTATCAGGTGGTGAGGAGATCTGCCCTGTAACTCCTCTCCATTGTGGTTAATTGATCGACTGTAAATAAGGCACGAATATGTATCTGGAAGAAGACTCCTGGCAGGCCTGCCTGCTCTCCGCGGGCGGCCTGCCTGGGGTGCTCAGCCTCAGGCTCTCCAAGCCCCAGTCCCTTCAGCCGGCTGAGGGGGAACCCCACTTGTGCTCCTTGTTCTAAGATAACTCGCTGCCAGGAGGGAGTGGTGCTTTTAGTGCTGGGGTCCCTCCTTAAAGCGGTTCTAACTGCACGCCTGAATTTCCAGTGAACTTCGAGGCATTGATTATTGCCATGTCGGTGTTGGGGGGAGCCATCCTCCTGGGCATCGCCGTCTGCTGCTGCTGCTGCTGCCAGAGGAAGAGGAGCCGGAAGCCAGACAAGAGTGAGGAGAAGGCCATGCGCGAGCGAGAAGAGAGGAGGATACGGCAGGAGGAAAGGTGAGGTCACGCGTGAATTCCCATTTGGGACGAGTTCACTTCAAGGAGACTCAGATCTGGAAGGCAGTGGAAAGCGATTTTTGTAAGTCACGATCTTTCTCCACTTTTAAAAATTAAGAGTGTGCTGAGCGTCTGTGGGGTTTTCTGTTTTGTGGTATAAAAGGTGAGAAACTGTGCGGGGCCCTAGCAAGTGGCCCCTGCTTGGGTGTCACGGCGTGCGGCTTCCTGTCTGTTTCCACGAGTTGGATAAATGAGGGTTGCAGCTGGCGGAGGGGTCCTGTTGACGAGTCCGTGGCTGTTGGTTCTCAGGGTGGCAGGGGCGGGTCCTTTGAGGCGGTTTGCCCAGCTGCCCATTTACGGTGAGCAGGCGGTGGCGCAGAGAGGGAGGAAAGCATTTGATTGGGGTCACCTGCCTGCCTGGTGACTGGTGCCCTGGGCCAGGTTGGCTCTCATGTGTCGCCAGTGCTCTGATGAACAGCACTTTCCTGGTTATAGAGCACTTTGGCGAGTGTGTATGATGGGGCCGCAAGACAGCCCTTGGCGGCGGTGAGGTGGGTCACTCTTCCCTGCCCAACAAGGGACAGGGTAGTGGCTCAGGGAGGTGCTGATGGTCAGGCTTAAGGCTGGACAAGTTTCCATGCTGTCACCCTGAAGCCACGTGACCCTAAATAAAAACTAACAATCACGTGTTCCCAAACATCTTCAGAACCCAGCATGAGGTTTTTACTGATCGGTACATTTTCTTCATATAAAAAAAGTTTTTAAAAATCACGCTATCAGACACTTGAATTGCTTTTATTGAAATAAAGAGTGACACAATATTGGAGCAGCCTCAGAAAATTGTGGTCATTGTCACCCCACCTGTCCTAATGGGAGTGTAGCCCCATGGCTTAGCTCGTCCCCCACTTTCATTCTGGGAGATGAGAATACACCCACAGTGTCTTCTGCTGAAGGAAACAAAAGGTACATCTTTTTAAATCACATTGTATTTTGGTGCTAAGTGAAATTTCTTTGTTTTTAGGAGAGCAGAGATGAAGTCAAGACATGATGAAATCAGGAGAAAATATGGTAAGGATGGATTGACTCTCCACTGTAATTGGTTAGGAACCGATGCCAAGCCGTCTTTGTCGTTAGTGAAGCCTCGTGAGGTCTGGCTGTAGGATTTGGGCTGTGGCATCCTTCTCTGGGTTCATCCACAGGCACAGAAAGACGTCTCTCCTGGGAAAAGCAGCTGGCTTTTTAGTGGAACTGTAGTGAACTAATTCGCCTGAATGTCTGGGAAGATGAAGCCTCAGAATATCTTTCTCAACCATACTTCTCCTGGATGCTTGTTTGCTCGTGAAGCACTGGCGCTTCACCGTGGCCGCTGTGGCCCCTGTCTGTTCTGTCGTCGTCTTTCCCCTAAGGTGTGGTGGCCCGAGGAACTGCAGGGCTGGGGTCTCTGTCTCCCCTGCCGTCCCTTCACCCTGTGTGTGTTGCTCTCTCCCCACCTCTGGGTGTGGCAGGCACATTCCTTTGTGAAAGCGTCAGCCAAAACTGAGGGCCTGCCACTGCTTTCCCTGTTGCCTAGGCGTTCTATCCTGGTTTGGTTTTGATTTCTGTTTGCAGAGTTTGGGGGTGTGACTGTTTGTTCAGTGTTTGAGAGCACTAAATCTGCTCTTGTGTTGAGTGGGTTCCGTGCTGATTTCCATGTCCATGGACAACATGAGCGTTTCTGCTCCCGCTCGGTGACTGCTCGGCCCTCGGCGATGACGGCCCAGCCTGAGCTGCTATGCTTCCCTTGACCTCGTAACCTGAGCATCGTGCGCCACATGTTAAGTGAGCCAGGCAGCTGTGCTAATAGCTAAATCGATCAGGGAGATGTCAAAATCTTTTCCAGCTGATGCACTCACTTTGAAGTCCTCTGTTTGCATAAGGAAATACATATTTTAGTGGTATTTTAGGATCCTACTCACTAATGTGGTCAATCCAGAAGGCTCACTTCCCTCTGCAGGGGCTTTTGGGGCTCTGGGCTGTGCACGTTGATTCAGCTTGGCCCACTGGCTGGACGTCCTTCTCCCGGTCTATACTGACGTCCTCCAAAGGTCACACCCTCATGCTCTGGACCCAGGTTCCGCCTCCAGGTGTTGGTTCCGGGGCCCGAGGCTGCCCCTGCTGCTGGGTCTCCTGTGTAAGGCGAGACGTCCAATGGCTGATAGAGCCTTTCCCCGTGTGTTCGTGCCCACGGCACTAACCCCGGTGTCCCGTCCTCCCCTGACCCGTTTTCCCGGGTCCCCGGCCTGGGTAGTGATGGGTTCCCAGGTGAAATTCCCTTGTCAAGTAGCCTCAGTGTGTCACCTTCCCTCCCTCCCTGGGCGTCTCTGCCTGTCTCGGCACTTCTGACTCCACAGAGCCCTTCCTACACCTGGGCTGGCTGCAGTGGCAAAGTGCAGGCGTGAGGTGAGGCCATGGCTTTGTCTTTCCAGGAAGAAATGAGCCCCTGGCCGAAGCAGCTGGCCCAGGCAGAGCCTTGAGCTTGAAGCCCGAGCCTGCCCTCGGATGCTCCGGGGAAGGGCGCCGGGGGATGGGCTGCCCCTGGCCAGGTCTGAGGGACCGACCCAGCTCGGGGCTGTCGGGGGCAGAGAGAGAACCCCCCTCCGCCCTTTCCCTTCAGGTTCTTATGGCTGGCCAAAGCCTTAACAAGACAGGTTGTTCCTACTGTGTCGATGGTTAATTTGACCTTTAATTGCACTGGTCAAAGGAACTTGTCAAGCCAGTTTATAATACAGCCCAGTGAACAGCCTGGACTTTGGAAGGCCCAGCTACCAGGAAGACTTCCTGGAGCCCGCGGTGTCGGGGGAGGAAGGCATGTGAGCGCGCTTGGTTCAGTTAACACCCTAAATACCAGCGCCCACAACACCCTTCTCTCAGTGTTAGAAGGGGCGTGATTTCCTTATCACAGAAAAGTTTACCTCTCTTGTTCCCTCTGCGCTCGAAGGAGAGCCAGGAGCTGTTTGTTTTTTCAACCAGCCCTGAACAAGACTGCTTGTGTTGGCATTTGGCACATGAGCACTCTGTACTGAAGCAGCCTGTGCCCTTCCTCCCCAGGCCTGGGCCCTCTGTCCTCCAACAGGAGGGAGGCACCAGATGAGCATCCTCTGTGCAGCCCCGCCTCCTCCTCTGCTCTCATCTGTTCCCCACCCCTTCCCCCCACACAAAAGAACCTGCAGTAAGGAGATTTGTGGCAGTGGCTCCAGAGAAGTTTGGTATATTATACAGATTTTTTGAGAGAGGGAGAGTGTGTGTGTTCCCTCAATGCAAAGAGAAAAGCACCGTAGATTTCCTTTTATGGTTAAATACACACTTTATCACAGTTATGTCGTAACACTTGACAGTTAAATTCATGGTCACCTTAGTTCTTTTTGCAGCCTTAATTCTATAAGTTAGTCAGCATTTATAAGGACATATAAAGTCAGGTGGTTTTGTTTTGTTTTTTTCTGTATAGCGTTAGCCAACCACTGTGGGAAGAAATTTTGACGTATTTGCTGATTCTCTCGAAGAGAAATTAAGAAATTTAAAGTCTTCATTTCTTAGGATCTGTTTTTCTTAGAATTATTGTTTTCCATTAAGTTTTATTTCGATTTTAAGGTCAGCTGTGGTTTGACTTTGAAAAGAGGTTAAGCATAGTATTTGAACTTGCTTAGATTTGAACACCATTTTTCTTACAGCCTCAGTAAATCTTCGCATAAAAATTGTATTGCTTTCTTGAGTTCTGTTTCCCACTGGCTGAGTGCATTTATAATCAAGTCTGTTTTGTTTTCAGGTTTGTTTAAAGAAGAAAACCCATATGCTCGATTTGAAAACAACTAAAGGGCACTTCCCGGTGTGCCAAGCTGTCCCAAAGCCTCTCCTCGGGACAGCGGTCAGCAGAGACCCCGCCTTGGCCTGCCCCCGCCCTTGAGGAAGCGGGCCTGCAGGGACGCTGCCCCGAGAGCACCGTCCTGCTCTTGCCCTGCGGCCCCGCGAGCTTCTGCCCTGTTCTCTCTGGTTCTGTATTCAGTCACTGAGACACTGAGCCTATCGGGGTTTCTGTTTCTGTTTTTGTTTTTAATTTGAGGAGGAAATGCGCACATTCCACTCCTCTTCTCAGTTTGTAATTGCAAACTATACTGCATAACAACACTAACGCCTGGCTGATTCTTTCTCCATTCTCGCATCGCAGCAGCGGAAGTCTTGCCTTCCTCTCTGCTCACTAGCAAGCTTCACGAAGCCGCGAAGGAAGGTTGTCTTTCCTTGTGTCACAGGAGAATGGACCCGTCCCCCGTCACTTCCTCGTGAAAGCACAGATGGCAGCTCTGTGTCCGTGTCCACAGTCTCCCACGTGCTAATTCAGGCGGCTCTCTGTTGAACACAGTGTCAGGACATAGTCTGATAACCTTCCTGAGCCCAGGTTCACTGAGTGGCGTTGAGGCGTAGTTAACATCACCTTAAATCTTTTTCCTTTTTTTGTTTTTTAATAGTTCTTGGATTTTATTCCCCCACCTAAAAGATTTCATCAAAAAGCTTTACTGTCAAAGTTCAGACCACTTGCTGGATGATTTTTTAGTTTGTGTTTAGTACTGGAACATCAAGACTTTCCTAGTGGAAACTTGAATGATAAATGAAGTTTTAAAACAGCATCCCTCAGAGCAGTTGCTGGTGGTAGTGTGTGCCGGCGGTGGGCTGGAGAGGCTGTGACTGCCTTGCTCTTTCTTCTCAGCCCCGTTGACAGCAGTTGTCAGGTCCCTGGTGCGGTCACACTGCCTCTGAAGTGCTCTCCCGAGTCTCTGAGACTCTACCTACCTGGCAGGCTGTCTGCGAGGTGGTCATATGGTAGCCGAGGGTGCCCACAGGTCCGCCCTCAGGAGGAAGAAGGGACCATTCACCAGCCAACTCCTCTGCAGGGCTCTGCACCTGGGAGGCAGGGGGCCAGGGCCAGCTCAAGAGATTCCCGTGCACCACATGGAGACACTGACGGTCCTGCTCATAAGACGACTCCCAGCCCCGAGCCACGCGCCTTTGGCTCAGGCGAGCTGTGAGAATTCCCTCAGAGCGGCACCTTGCAAGGTGGTCAGCACCTCCAGGTGCTCTGTGGGGCCACATGTGGTGGTTCCATTTCTTTCCGATCAGAATATGTGGCTTCAGTAAACAGACCGAGCGCTTCGTGGCAGGGGCAGCAGCAGACAATGAAGTCACTGTGTCAACAGCCTTTCTTAAATCTGAAAATAGTTCGAGTTGCCAGATTGCCTTGAATTAGAAAAACATTTAGCTTTGGGAAAGGAGGTCAGCAGGCACATAAAATGAGTGACGTACATTCCATTTTCTACTCATAATGTATCACGCTGTGGAGATTGAAGTTCACAGGCCGATCAACGTGATTAAAACATCACCAGATGCCTTAATGGCACCTTTTTAACCATGTGATCTGTGCTGTGAATTTCTACCCTGAAATTTTCACTAAGAAACTAATCAAACGAATTTTCTGACTTCTTGGGCATTTGATGGCAATTTAAAGTATTATGAAACATTCTAGATATTTTATAGCAGCCTGCAATTTTTCTACTGTTTATTCATAAAAGAGTTTGTAATAGACTTCAGTGAGCTTTGTATTAATCCAGTAGTATATATGTAAAATCACACTGCTTCTGGAATTGAGGTTGTGGAGCTGGAGGTGGAGCTAGGACTTGTTAGGCAGGAGCCTTTAATCCTGTCACACGGAATAGAGCCTGCGCCAGGGTGTCCGCAGGACGGCCTCAGTCCATCTGCTTTTTTCTGAAATAGTACTAAGAACAGCCAAAAATTGTAACCTCAAGGAAACCATGAAGTTTGGCGTGCCTTACTTTTTAACAAGTTTCCAATAAATAGTTTAATACTTGCTTTTATTAAATACTCTGTGTTGCGTGTGTTTCATTTCTCGATGGTGGTGACACCATTACTTGGAGGGCGAGGGCAGTTAGACTTTGTAGATCAAGATGGACTTCTGGACCTGTCGCAGGATGTGGGAGCAGTCTCCCAACTCGAATGCACCTGGCGACAGAACGGACTGCGCTGTGTACTGAAGTTGTCCCCCTGCTCCAGCCCACCATTGGGTCTCCTGCCAGTGCACCCCGAAGACGTGGGGCTGGACTGCTCGCAGGTGAAGGCGTGACTGTCAGCACTCGGGGATCTGCCTGCCCCACCTGTGTTGTCCTGCTTAGCTGGAACCAGACACAAAGAACTTAGAGAAAGCAGCTCTGTCTTTGAGGTTTGCAGTTGGTGCCCCTATGTGAAACACGTCACTGTCCACGAACACCTTCCCCCCCGGGGGGTCTTCAGTGCCTGCTTGTGGGGAGCGGCCTGTCCTTTCTCGCGGTTGCTGCTGACCTGTTTTTACCATTGTGTCAGTCGCTGGGACTCCAGGACTCCAGGATCTGTGCTGCGAGAGTCAGTGTTCTGTGACGTTGGTCAGCCTGTGGGTGCTGTGGTCCCCGTGGGACATGCAAGCCTGCCCAGCATGCCCAGCTGCACTCAGCCCACTTCCGGGTCAAAGTACATAGACAGGAACACCCGGTTCTTCATTCCAGAATGTCTGAAGGTTACAGGCCTGCATCTGGAATGGGGGAGGCGTAAGGTCGTGACTCCGCCCCGAGACCCACAGTTGTGGGCTGACCTCGTCCCTAGCACCTCTGGAGAGTCTCCACTCTGCGTAGGGAACTTGCATTAGCCTTAGGCTCATTGAAGGAGTTTGAGATCTGATTATGGTGAGACCTCTGCTTTGGAAGGAAGGGATGATGAATGAAGTACTTCTTTTATGGTTTCTGCTCGTCCAGGAAAATCGTGTGCAGGGTTAAAAAAGCGACCAATCGGATGGGTAGATGGTGGCCGTGGCCCTGTTCGCTGGTCCTCAGTGTCCTTGCAGAGCTGGTCCGTGTCGCAGGGCTGCTGGTCTGCTCCATCAGCGTGCCTGCATCCGTGCATGTGGCCGCCTCCCAAGTGGCCTTGGAGCCCCTTGTTCCCCTGTCCTCTTTGGGAGGTTGTGTGGTTGTTTCCAACTCAAGTCTGTTCGTGCTGCTTTGGCATAATGTGAGTAAACTGCAGGCTCATCTCCTAGAATTAGAATTCTGGATCAGTGTCGTGATGGCTATTTAAAATGTTGGTAGAATCTGCCAAATTACCCTCCAGAGAGAGGACACCTCGCTTGAAGGAATCTGATACTTCGCACGATGGATGGAGGTCAGTGGCCCCTGGTGAATTTTCCAGAACTCCATCTGGAAGTAAGTTTTCCTGAGTAGATGGTTCCCAAGGGTCGTCCAGCTGGAAGCAGCAGGTCCTGCCTGCACACAGGTGTGTTCAGCACGGTTGAGGATGGACAGACTGAGTGCAGGTGGACCGTGGCATGTGGGCATAAATGAGCGCCAGCGCCACAGTGGCTAAAGATGAGGCCCTGCCTGGGGTCTGGGAGAGGCAAGAAGAGGAGGCACGGGTGTCAACGGAGACCAGACTCAGGAAAGTTGGCTCCATCCTGTTGGCGTTTCTGTGAGGTGGTGGCTGTCTGTTGCAATTTCTGAGAGAGGAAACGGGGGGAGGAGGAGGCAGGACAAGCCCTGGTCTTGCTGGGTGGTCCGAGGCTCTCTCACCTCCTCCTTTCCCTGCTGCCTCTCCTATTCTAGGCCCCCTCTCCAGCACCCCTGCTGGTCTGCCTGCTCTCCACAATGCTGTGTGGTGCAGGTCACAGACCCTGGTGACTGTGCCCTTGTCAGGCGGTGGCTGACTCTGGCCATTCTTGGTACTCATGGTGCACTGGCTGGTGCCCTGTGATGCTCTGGAGTCCCAACAGACTTGCTGTGGCCCATTAATTAGCAGAAACCTGCATGCTACACAGTCGTCACTGCCACTGTAGAGCTCTCTCTGGCTGTGTGTCCACTGTGAAGAGCCGAGTGACCCAGTGGCAGCCACATCTTTGGGGGTTGGAGACCTTACTGTGTCCCCTGGTACAAAGGTATCTGGCCAAGCCTGATGGGGGTGGGTGAGACTCCCCAAGTGGGCCCCTGGGAGTCCTGCTGCCACCCCTTGTCCCCAGTCCCATGCATTCTGCTGGGGACACAGCCCCCAAAACAGACTTAGAGTCAAAGGATCTGCCCATGTTGAGAGACAGAAGGGCTTGTTGACTCATGGATTCGAGTGGCATGTTTGGTACCCTCGGCTGCTAAAATGGGTGGTTCCCAGCATATCTGGTGGCTCAGACCCCAGAGACTGACTTCCCAGTTGGTTCTGCATCCCCTGGGCTCTCTGCCAGCAGGTGGGGAGGAGAGCGGCAGCCCCAGCCCTGTAGGGAAGTGACGCTGTCATTCCATTGGCAGGAGCTGGTCCCTGCATGGGGCCTGGGAGTGCACTCCCAGAGGGGCAGCCACCTCCCTTGCTGGGGGCCGCATCTGGGGCACGTCCAGAGGCGGGAACTGCGTTTGCCTGAGATGATTCTCTTCTAACGGGATCTCCCCTTCTCCTCATTAAAGCCAGTTTAGGAAGCCCTAACACAGATCCCTCCGTGTGCCCAGAGTAAGTGCCAACCTCATGGAAAAGCACCAGGGGTCCAATTCAGTCAGAGACTTGCTCGATTTGATGGGTTTCCTGCTCCCCAGAGTTAAGAATGCTGTTAAATCCCCAATCACGGGCCAGACGCCAAGTGGTTTTAAACCCTGAGTACTAAGAACAATTCATCACTACTGACAAATCACTAAGTACAGTCAATTTAACGTTCTTGAGTAATTTCTTCCACAAATTCTAGTTCTCTAAGCTACGAGTAGTGGCACTTAGTCAACAGAATAAAGTGAATGTTCTTTGAGAGCCGGGGTTGCGATGGGGCTT